AAATACAAACTAAAGGGATAGAAAGATATATGTTTCACTTGACACATCCACATCGAAAATAGTTTTGGCATCCACTACAGAGAAAAGGACTTGAATTCCAATTTTCTTTACCATTTCACGTTTTTTGATCGGAATTTCGCTACTATATCTTCGATTACTTTCTACGCATTGAATATTGCTGAAATGGTTTCGTACCTTTGAAGCTTCCCAAGGTTATCGTTCGAAATTTACGGGTGTGAGGTGTGACGGCCGCGCTCGCAAAAGCGCCCTTGTCCCACGCGGTGCAAAAACCCAAAACGCGCGATGTCGTCAACGTGTTAATAACGATAGGGGAAGATGTGGTGAACAGTTAGTGCGATTTTTTAGGCCTTCCGCAAATTAACAGGAGGGGGTGCGGAGTGCTCAGACTAGTTCGCCATCGCTTTTAAACTCACTCCGTAGCTTGTTCTCTTGTAAAACGGTGAAACGACGGAGCACGATATGTTGCACCAGATTTTTCCCCCTTTATTCAAATAGATCCAAGAATGGATATGAAAGTTACCTTAGCTGCGCATAGAGCTGCCTCGTCGGCTCCAAGAACAGTCGAACATCCCAATCCGGACGGCATTCTCAACGATGACCAGATATCGTACGTCGCATTGTCTTCGGTCAACGGTGGACAATTGATTACCTACTCAATTTACGTTCAGTAACAAAGTTCTCCGAAGTAAAAAAAAACTCACAGGCAAGTGAAGTTTCCAGCCAGTACGGGCCCCAATCCGTTCGACCTCCCGGCAACGGCAATTATTACTGTGGGGGTCATATCGTCATCGTATTCCGCGACAATGTCCAGCGTTTCTCTTGTCGTCTTCAAAATCGCGAAATAAACCAATCGACCAGAATTACATTTGGGCGGGGTTACCTTGTGGGCGGAGCTAATACGAAGAATGGGCGTCACGCCCAGTGCTCGACAGCTGACGGCAATCTTCTCACAATGGGCCTGATCGGCCGGTGAACCCATGATAATCAGTGCTCGACAGCGTGGTGAGGTGGAGAACTGGGCGGTCGTTTCCATTACCTGGAAGGCAGTTAATGAGCTAGAGCCATGATAAAGCTAAGGACAAAAAATTTCGGCCTAAAAATGGTCAAGCGATCAGGTTACCTTTCTAGTTACATAAGGAGCTGCTGCAACGGCTCTGTTTTACCCATCTTTCCATATGCTCTGAAAGAATGATTCAATTTTGCGAACTATAAGTGTCAAGCAAAAAAGGCAAGATGCCGCAAATACTAGCAGGAACAACGAAAAATAGTATTACTCAATCCGCCAGAATTTCTTAAACGGGTGAGTGTAAGAAGAACTGAAGTTCATCTCCAGTTGAGGAAGCTCTCACAACTGTGAAAAAACAATTTTATGTTGATTTCATTCTGTATCAGACCGCTCGCGTACGAATTTATACAAAAAAATATTAATCAGAATATATTTTATCCACAGGATGAAGGACCTATGAACTAGCAGTTACTGTAAAGTGCTACAAAGAATTTATCTAAAACCGGCCGCCACAGTCCAACTCTACCCACACTTTCCTAAGCCGTCAGCAGGGGACAAATGTAGCTAAAGAGACAAATTCTGTGCTCTCGCCTACCTAGCGCCTCCGTTCTAATGTTTGTCCCAAAATCGCCGAAGAATGGTCACAAACGACACCCTTCCTCACAACTACGACTTCCTCCATTCACAAAAATAGGAACCCGTCCATTTATCAATGCCATGCTCGCTAGGCGCAGCAATGGATAATGTTGGCTTCCTTGAGAGAGTCCGTCGGGGTCGAACAGAAGAGCTTTACAAAATTGATCCAAATCCATCTTACAGGATTACAGAAACGGGGCGAAATTTTGGTAATATGGTTATTATTTGAAATGGCAGTTGTGCTGTTTGTCCGATTCTGACTATTCTGAATTTCAGCCAAATATTAATCCACGTAAAACTATGTTCAGTGAGCGTGATTCTTATAAATCTCACCACTGGGAACTTGGCAAGTGAGCGATTGGAGGTCGAAATCTTAAGCCCTCATAAACATCGGCAAATCAAATACCTGTAGTATTGCTTGTCGAGCTGGAGGCGACGATACCAAGTGGCCAATCCTCCAGAATCGTTAGTCGATCACATCGCCAAAAACAATCTTACTTGACTGATGACTTACCAACTCATGACAACGAACGAGAGTTTTGCTGACACGATCCAACAAGCCGGTGGGCTGTGTGGCAAAGCCAAATAAAGAATTGGTAGGTTCGACAGATCGAAGCAGGAGGCTTGCCGAGTGTAAAATAGGGCCTTTCGTCTCTTTGCAGGACCCACAATCTTCAAGGCGGCAAGGCTTTTATGTCCTCGATTGGAATCTGATCGAGAAGTAGTCCACAGCTGCGACCAGTGCCAGCACTTCCCATTGTCCTCCTCGCAGTGGATTCCACCAGGACTGCTAATATAGTGTTGTGCTTACGAGGATAAAATATTGAGAAAACCGATCCCACAAAAGTCTCTTTTCGCAGTGCCTAGGTGAGGGTCTGTTGTCATGAGAAACAAAGACATGTTAGAATTTGAGCAAGAGCAGAGTGAGCTGAGACAGACAACGGACTCAGGGAACTTCAGGTGAAAGGTCCTATAACGAGAAATACGCCGGATTCTCAGCCAAATCTAATTTTTCGAATGCCGTGAGCACCCAGAACAGATCCCACGCTGCCACACTTGAAGGCAAATGTTATATGATCACAGACCCCTTCAATAAACCCTAAATTTTGGTGATTATGCTTACTCAATCGGGCATCGTGAATAACTCCATTGAATTCTATCGTCAACTCAACTGTATGTGACGTATCAGTTATCACCAGAAGTTTTACCATATTAGCATTCCTAGACTCAGTGGCATTTAAAAGCGAAAGTCAGTAATATCAACGTAAGGAATGCGGCTAACTGCCGACTTCCCGATATGAACGTCCACTTGAACTCAGCGCAGGTGACTAGATAACTCATAAGGGGTCTCAAAATGCTCACCTCATGTCGATCAGACAGCTATGTCTAGCCCAGCACCGCTCTAAACCTTTAAAAATATGACTCTATGTTTCATGTGTTTGATCTTGAAATACAAATATAACCAAATTTTGGAAAAAAAAACCGATCAAGATGTTAGTAGCCCCCGTTGCAGTTGCCCGTTGGTTCGTATGATTGCATCCTGCTGAGCTAAATAGGCCTCTTATAGTTCCGACGTCGGTTATGCGCTGCTGCCGTTATCTTAGAGTGCGAAGTTTGGGCTCAGACCCACCCTGAGCCCTTACCATGGCTAGAAGTGCTGGGCACCGCTAGTGCAAAAGGTAGCGCCACCTTTCTACATCGAAGCGCGTCACCTAGGACCCTAGGCGCCATGAACTTCTAACAGACTCCACCAAACATAACATGGTCCGCCCACCGATCGATGTCTTGTCTGCGTCGCTGCGTTGATCTGCTATGCTCTCTCTTCTCGGAATTCTCTACCACCCTCTGCGCTCACATTATCTCTCATCTCCCTCCCTTTTGAACTTCTCCACAGCATTGAGCAAAATGCTCGTATTTCCTGTGCATGTCAGGATTTTCTTTCCTTTTTTCCATTGGCGGTCCACCTCTCATCCCTACTTTCACATTTGAGTGGAATCAACCCATCAATGTAATCCTGATTCTTGCCTTTAAGGCAGCTATCGCGAAGCTCAGGTCACATTTAAATGATTTTGCGATTCTGATTGCGTGCTGAATGCGTTGCGCATCTCGAGATCCACCCACTAGCACCCCCTCGATGAGAAAGGGCGGCAAAAGCTATCCAAATTCAAACAAGATCCGATGGAGGGGGAGGGTCGTATTTTCTGAATCGGAGGAGAGAGGGAGTCGTTATTTGTGCAATACATGAAAAGTCGCCACACCCCACCCTCACCGCCAGCCCCACTCGACCGCATTTTGCCTAAGCCTTCAGGGGCAAATCTGAAGTGTGTCATGCTGCAACAGGATTACAGCTCCCCCGACAGCACTGGCGACCAAAAGGTGGCGGAAAGGTCCGGGCTCAAAGAGAAGGACCCCGTATTGAAGACACCTTTCTAGAGGAAGGTGCCGTTGCACCCCAATCACTTGTTCGCTGCGATGTTTGCCTTGCTCAATTGAAATCACTTTCAAAAGCTGGAACAAATCATACTTGAGAGAGAGTCAATCATCTGTTGAGATTTTTTTCCAACAGGAGATCGTACCCTGTAATTCTAAGGAGCGGGTCGTATTTGTAGAAAGGGTTCGTATTTTCGAAGGGTCATGGAAATAAGTAGATGCGGGAACAAAGGGATTTTCTTACGAAATTTGTAGGAAGCTCGAATTCGCCATTTCTGTACATTCCTGCCGCACCCCCTTCACCCACTACTGGAATCACCTGTTTCGAAGGTAGGGCTCCCAAGCGCGCGTCAAGATGAAGCAGGTCCAACGACACCGTGAACACCATCGACCAATGGAGTCGTGTTGAGGGCGCTTCCCCAAAAATGGTGGCGGGGGTTGCTGGGGGGGGGGGGTGGGAGGGAGAGAGTGGGTAGCTCAATTTCAATTCTTCTCGTTTCCTCACCGCGACGAATTAAACTTCTTGGAAACCCTTTACCTAAGCAACTTCCCCGGATTGGGGGAACCAAATCTGATACCATTTTTCCATAATATTCTTGAATGTGAACTGATAAGCGGAACTCGACCTAGGAGACAAACCAGTATTGGACAGATTCTTTATGGGATCGAAACCAACCCACCTCGGCCTTTCCGATTTTCACTCCATTGAACTCGAAATTCGAACACAATATCTGTTCATCGGAGTACTGCGGATCGTCGTTGGCGTCGTCCTATGTCAAATTATTTATTATTAATATATTAATTACATTATTTATTAGTAGATCCACCCATTTAAACCACATGAACTCACTAACTTTAAAGAATGTCTCAATTTTCGGCTCGCTGAATCGATAACCCTCTTTAACGCCAGGGTTCCGCTTCAGGAACGAGCCAGTGCTACACGCCTGGCTACCCATTCGATAGGTATCATTTCACATTGCCTCGCAATAAAGTCGCAATCGCTTGCATCAGTGACAAAGTGAGTCGCAATACCTGAAAAGTGGGCCTAGGTGTCTCTAATATTGAGAGTACCGTAATAAAACGTTCATTACCAATCTCTTTCAGCAGTTTGAAAACGTTCACTGTGGTCTGTTGGCGATTTGTGCCTTGCCTTCCAGCACATTTTTGCGAGCCGCATTGAAAGCCGTCAATTGATCTTTCGAGCGAATCAGCACAAGGTCCTGAACATGATTGGCGAGGTTTTCAGCTAATATGGCCAAAATTGCGCTCAAGCAATCA